AGCTTGTATTGATGCATGTGAACTAAGAAACCAACCCTACACTTTTGTATTATTACAGTTTATTTGTTTCACTATATAAATACATAATTCTCACCATGCATATACGATTATTATTAAACATATGCAATAGTTCAATCTTAGACTAGATATGTGAACAAAATAATTAACTGACAAACCCAGCAGACTTACATGCGTCACTCTAGTATGACTATGACTATCTCGTTAATTATACATTTATGTGACGTATGATGTATTTTTAGCCCAGCATACACACATGAATGGCATATTGACATTGTTGTAAGGTTGAACAATAAAAAAAAAACAGTGATTAAAACTTATCAAATATTAACGAAAATAACATATTCTATTTTTACAGAGATATTGCAACATGGGTCTGAAATAATACAAATTCGTTCGAGAATGTTTTAATTGACATTGCGTATCAAGCATTCTATAGCTAGTTTTTCGCTTGATCGGTTTTCATGAATGTCCGTAGTACTTTTGTACCATTATTTCTTATATTATTATAGATCATTTCGGAGTTGGTATGTAAAAAAAACTGATTAAAAACCACGAAATATAATGGTATATTTTCTTCTTATAGTACAGTTCATAAAGTTTTCATTCTCTTGTGTTGCATGTCGATTTCTGTGAACTAATTAAAAATACAACGACCGTAGCACAGGAAGTTTTCGTACAGTGTGATAGTATTTTACGACTGAAGTCGGTAACTTACTGTAGTTTTGTTTTAAATGTTGCCGTGAAATGTTTATTTGCAATTACAATCATTGATTAATTCTACACAACAAAGCTATATGATCAAAACATAACATTGAAATGTTCTCATTTCCTAAAGTTACATTGCGTCTATTTTATATATTACCATATACTATTATAAATTAAAACGTGGATTAATCTGAACACAACATGAATATTCAGGCGCATCTGTATTTAATTGATTGTACATGTCAAGCAGCGTGATCTTTTTGTTGCTAGTTTTTTATTAGGTGAATATGCAGCCAAGTATACATAATAAGGCATGGCATTATTTCTTTTATAACATTGCGACTAAAATCAAGAATTGCTTGGGGTGTTAATATGTGAGAAACTAATACACAATTAAAAGGACGTACAGTACACATTGCAATATAATGGTATATTTTTTCATATGGTTCATTTAATTTAATGTATTTCTTTTCACCGCGTAACATGTTGATAGACGTTGACATTTTCAGTGCACTGTTATAACATGGAGTTATTCTCAGAAGTCGGAAAACAGAGGGAAAAGAGGCAGACTTGAAAATGTGCAAAGTGTCGCATTTGCAATCTCCATTACAAGAATCACCTTTTAATGTCGGGCTTACCCATGAAAATAAGAATGTTACTCTACACGTTTACCGGAATAACTATGGTCAAACGTTGTTCTGGTTTTTAAACCGCAACGATCAGTATTAAATACAGTATGTCTTTTATATTTCATTGATTATGAGTAGTGTGATCATGTTGATATCTACTATCGCTTGTCTTCATTTGGTTTATTATCAAGCACGTGACAGAGGGCGCGTGACATATGGCATGAATTTTAATATTTTTTGGGTTACGTGTGATCGGGATAAAATAACCATCACTAGTGTCCTTTATAGGCAGTATCGGTGTCTATAGTTTCCATTGAATATGAATATGAATAATGTTCTGTGTATTGAAATTAATAAATACACTATAATTCGTTTAAAACATCAGAAATTTGCAATTTATTCCTGCGTGGTTCAATTGTATATGTTTCCATATGTGTTTAAAATGAGGGCGCTTTCCTTGTAAACAATCCGTTACTTGCTTGATTGGATTTTTAATTTCGGATTTCGCCGTATATCAACAATGATACAACGTTTTGTTTATCAGACATTCACCAAGTAACATAGAAATTAACAATGAATTATTATAGCTATTGTTCATAAATGTTTTGATGATAATAATAATTCTCCTTCATTGAAAAACAACATGTTTAGTGCTAAGTTGAAAGCATTGACAGCGAGAAAGGGCAAACCTACATTTTATGTATTTTTTTCGGTTATTATAACAAAAAAATATGTTGAGCCACTGCAAAAGATGCGTTAAAGCTAAGAACAGTACAATTATGAGCGTGCTGTTATGATTGTGTCTTAAATCGTGTGAAATGAAAATGTAAAAACTGTTTTTCACTAAACATGATATTGATTAAAAAAGTGTAATTATTACGATTACGATTACGATAGATGACCATATCATATCAACTAAATTAGACCTTCACACGTGACTTCGTTGCATTTTTTACATCTTGAAAAAGTTAACTAAACATTGATACGACCCTACTTCATAAAAATAAAACACGTTTGTTTTGAAACACGCAGTTTGCAAACGTAGTCAACGACAGGCTTTCTGAGACTTGATCCGTTAGATTTCATCAATTACTGCACTTAGGTTGTCAAAATATACATTCAAGTAGAGAAACTTACACTGGTATCACTGCTGGATAATAAAAGTAACCTCACATGAACCGTGTTTCTGAATAATAATTTTAAATAAGTAGATATGTGATTTACTCGTCATATAGGTTCATGAATGAATGCACAAATATTTTGCCTT